CTTAGGGTTGGAGTCGAAAGAGGAAGAATCAGAAGAAGAATCAGGGGCCTTTGATTCTGAAAAACGAGCTTTCTCGCTTGCACACTCTGCATTCCTTACTTTCTCATTGGCTGCACCGCCGTTTGCCCATGATCTCGGTGGCGAGCACGAGCGCAAAAGTGTCCATGGTCGCGCGAGCGAAGCCGTAGAGGAACTTGAGCGCGGAGTAGATCCAAACGTTGCGTGAGAGAGTGACGAGAAGAGAAGTGATGCACATGTTCTTTTGCCCGAGCGAGGAGTTAGCCAACGAGGCTAGCCTGAATCCTCCCACCAAGCACCCAACGAAGAAGCTCGAAGCGGAAATCCCCGAGATTACAGAGTTCGCGCACTCCAAACCCTAGTCTGACACGATGGAAGCATGCGCAGTGGAGACGGTGATGAAGGTATGTTGGGCGTAAGTGAAGACGGTGATGAAGGTCTGTTGGGCGTCGAAGAGTCAGGCGATGGAGACAAGTACTGATTGGAAGAGCCAGGTCGAAGACATTGAATTTTCCTATGCAGAGTTCGAGGGTGGATCCCTGGGATGGGTGGTGTTTGTTGGGTGTTGGTGATGGTGGTTATTCTTGTGTGTCAAATGATGGATTGGGTTGGCAGAGGAGAGGGGTGAGATCTGCCATGAATAGAACAAAAATATACTTATTTTTCTTCTCTCGTAGTTTTCATGCTTATGCAAATTGTCTGGATTCATCTTTTTGTTTATCTTCCGATAATATATGACTCGGTTAACCCTTCATTTTCCATTTCTTTATTTCTATTGCCTCGGTTCTCTGAAGAACCCAAGCAATATGTCAGGTTCGAAAAGCTGCAAAAGTCTGCTGTGCAGAAAGTAGGTGGAATGGTAGAGTGTTAGGCATCGGTTGTTATTTTAATTGAAGNAGGTCGAAGACATTGAATTTTCCTATGCAGAGTTCGAGGGTGGATCCCTGGGATGGGTGGTGTTTGTTGGGTGTTGGTGATGGTGGTTATTCTTGTGTGTCAAATGATGGATTGGGTTGGCAGAGGAGAGGGGTGAGATCTGCCATGAATAGAACAAAAATATACTTATTTTTCTTCTCTCGTAGTTTTCATGCTTATGCAAATTGTCTGGATTCATCTTTTTGTTTATCTTCCGATAATATATGACTCGGTTAACCCTTCATTTTCCATTTCTTTATTTCTATTGCCTCGGTTCTCTGAAGAACCCAAGCAATATGTCAGGTTCGAAAAGCTGCAAAAGTCTGCTGTGCAGAAAGTAGGTGGAATGGTAGAGTGTTAGGCATCGGTTGTTATTTTAATTGAAGTAATATAGCTAAAATGTCTCAGTTCAAAAGGAACCTAGTCGTATAAGTTCGATTAAATTTCATAAATGCCACCGCAGGAAACTGAAACCTATTACGCGAGTTCAAATTACGTTTTTTTACTAGTGACAAAGTGTGGAGGTTGATGAAGATGAAGGTACTGGTTATTTTTTCTGTTGAGTATAGAAGAAAGGGATAAGTGCTTATATTTTCTATTTCAAATCCGATATAATTGAATTTTCATATATGATGGGTTAAGTTTTTTTTTTATTCTAAAATATTTTTATTAATTTTAATAAATTTATATAAATTAATTTATAATAATTAAAAATTATATAATTACATTATAAACTAATACAAATTCAAATATTAAGAAAGGTAAGAGATATATCATAATTGCGTGTAAATGAAGTGTAGGGTTTTATTTTGATATATGAGAAATGGACTGTAAGGATACATATTTCATAATAGGGAGAAAATGGGTGTAGTTTGACGTAGAAATTGTCAACAAACATAAAATTAGGATGAAGTATTTGGAGGGTGAAACACATAATAACAAAACAGAATTGTTATGCATAACTCAACCTTCCTAATTTCGGCATGTACATCCATAATTTTTTAAATTTCAAAATGTGTTTTTGTAACATCCCAAGATACAGTAATTACCATAAATCAGAATTAATTACATTTAACAGTAAAATAATGCAGTCTTTACATTAATAAAATGAAGTTCAAAAGCCGAACGGCTTGAATACAGAATTAACATGCACGAAGCGGAAACAGTGAATGTCTAGAACGAACGGTTTTACAAAAATAATTAATCGAACGTCAAAATGAAAACTAACATCTAACTCCTAAAATAAACGATCGTTCTAAGGCTCGGCTTTGACTTCCACTTCGACCAGATTTTCTTCTTCAATGACGTCTTCCAGAGTGGCCTCGCCTTCTGCTCACATCCACACGGATGATCATTGCAAGGACAGGACGAACGTACATAGACAAATGACAACACAAGGAAAACGAAAGGGTAAGCTTATATAATTTAATTCATACATCAAAATATACTTTTAACATTTCAATCCACACAACAAGTAACTTAACATATAACAACATAGAAATATATATATACTAGACAGACCGTCTGGACTGTATGAATCTGTGTAGCTACAGGCGTCCTTGCACCCGAGTGATGTAGTAACTGGGATACACTCAACAGCTGCCACTCGAGGTTAGCCCTATCTTACGTCGCCCATGTTAACTTATGGACTAAGGACCTCCTGCCATTCACACGCATGACTTACCCCTCTCTACGTGAGAAGAGTAATCACTGAATATCAGGATGGACAGCCTGGCTTAACTTATCCACAGTCATACTTTACCAAATTCAATAATTATATATGTAAGAGTCGTTCCTCCCTGGAACGCTCCGTCCAAAATCCATAATCGTATAATCACTCAATATAGTATTCACACTTCAAGTCCTTATAATTTATCATCATTTTCATCTTTAGATTTAAGAGCATAAAATAACGAACGTTCAGTCCTCTAAAGAACTAGGACGAACGTCCAGAGAAAGGTATTGAATGAACGAAAAAGTCTATAGCGAACGTTACTATCTAGTCGGTCAGTCAAATGAACTAACCCGTTTGGAGGTACACTGGTACTTAGAGAAAATTTCATTATGAAGACCTTAGACCAGATCTAATGTAAGAAGGAGAGTCAAAATATTTAGAACTATCTTTGTAGTAATTCGCATATGGAAGACCGATACCAGTAATTGAACGAACGTGAGGAAAGGTGAATATTATATTACTTGAACGAACGCTATTTATCAAAGTGGGTATTCAATAATACAGCGCTTGGTATAAGACCGAGCACCACTCATGACGAACGTTTAGTAGATGACCGAGCACTAATTATGACGAACGCTTAGTACAAGACCGAGCGCTACTTAGGACGAACGCTTGGTATAAGACCGAGCGCTATTTAGTACGAACGCTTGGTATAAGACCGACAGCTATTTAGGACGAACGTTTGGTATAAGACAGAGCGCTACTTATCTTAAAGCATAAGAGTGTAAAATACTATTTTTTAATTTAAGGTATACGGTGCCACTATGATGAGCCGAACGCTCAAACATAGTATTTCCCAAAAGGACGCTCGTTCTCGATTAGAATTTTTCCCGAATGAAAGAATTCCATTTTTAAGTCACTTACTAGTAAACCGAACGGTATAAGACCGTACGATGACGAACGTATTTTATCATAGGGGAGTAATTTACATTCAGATTTTTCATCTATTACAGATCTCAAATTCAACATATCAGTTCATACTTTATACTTCATATCAATGTCAATTTATAAACTTTATATGATTCACATTAATCATTCATACTTTTCAATCATCAACATAACGTTCAACCAACATATACCATATTCATTATAACAGCGATCGTTCATAACAAATCAATCAGCATACATCTCATGCATCCAGTTCATATCATGCTTTCATACATCATACAAGTATCAATTAAATTAATAAGCTTCCCTTACCCGGATCAGTGAGTGAAACGTCCTAAGAGTATGACTTTGACTCGTCCAACTATGGCTTTTCTACACTCAACGTTTTCCTTAAGTTCTTCACTAAATCTAACCAAAAGAAACGTAGAAGAATTTAGCTTATACCCTTCATGCAGCTAAATCTGGGTTCGCAAGTAATCCAGAAACGAGCGTCTAGGTTGGGAAACTTACCGGTTACAGAATCTGAAGCTGTTCGGTCCAAAATGGAGCTCGCGACGCAGGGAACGTTCCTACAGCTCTGAAACGTGATCGGAGAAGAGGGTGGTGAGTTACAGTAGAGAGAAGGTGAAATGGTTCTAGAGAGAAGGTGGAGAAATGAGAAATCAGTTTTGAGGAAGAAGAAGAGTGCATGCAGAGAATGGGAAGGAGTGTTTCAGAAAAATTCAGTTCTCTTCCCCATGTCAAACTGACTTTCTCTCACACGTGGACACCTGTCTTCCACTACTGATTTTAGAATGTTCCAACTTGACACATGGCAGACGTGCGGCAGAGAATGTGAGTGCGTTTTAATGATACTGAGCAATGACGTGGGTGCATTAATTTGATTTGACAGAGGTTTGCAGTGTTAATTTTCCAAGGTCTCACAGTTTTGGACTATTCATTTTGAAATACCATATAAAAAATGCATTCTAAATTATATTTCAAATTATATGTTTCAAAATATAAAATTATATTTCGAATTATACATATCAATACAAAATAAAAAAGACCAGTAAAGTTTTCATTATCATATTAATTGGAATATAAAAAAGTATGTGATGTAGCCAGTGCACCAATCAATAACATAATAAGATAAATTTGTTTTGCCCTTTAAAATATTAAAAAAAAATCACCTAAAAATTTTCACTTTCCAAATAACAAAACTTATACATATTTGAACACAGTTTGATAAATTCCAATAGTATTTTCCAAAACAATATCTCAGCCACCATATCCGATGATTGATGAAGTTTGCAGGAAAAAAACTCCATTCCAATTCCATAATAACATATAGCATCCTGTTTTGTAGCAGAAACATTAATCTAAATCAAAATCTTCCGTCATATTCAAAGAAAGTTTAGATCAAAACAAAAATGTTTAAGGACAAAAAGAAGACCCTTTTGTTTCATTTTCTCTTCAAATCAGACATTGCTTTCTCTGCAGATAGACTCTCAATGACCTGACTGTAGAAGTTCCAAGAATCACTTGTTTTACTAATGGCTTCTTGGCCAAAGGGATGTTCCTCAACATACTTTCTCATATCTTCAGCTTTTGTCAAGCCTTCTAGAAATACTCTCAGCTCTCCTCCTTCAGCTGTCATGAATTATTCTGTTAATCCATCATGTTCAAATTATAAACCTTGTAAACTAAGACACTAAAATCGATTGTTTTCAATAAATTTTGGTTAATTATGAAAAAAATGTTAGAAACAAAAAAGACTCATTTTACAAACAGTTCATCACATTAAATGTAAGTTTATTCTGAATTAACAAATGACTACTTGGTTATATCTTTTAAAATAAACTATATAAAAAAAATCATCTTGACATTCTCCGGATTACAAAACTACATTGTTCTTCTTTCTAATATTTCAGGATAAAGATTCAAGCAAGAAGTTACTCAATATGTTTTCATTACTATATACAAGTAAATATTATAAAGAAATTTTTACCTAAAGAGCTGTCGTTTTCATCATGATAACAGAATGTATGAGGGAAAATCGAAGTGTTTGGCTGAATAATTGATCAAAAGAATTGGAACAAAAGATTAGAAAAATGTAGTAATTAGTTGATATAAAAAGCTGCGGAAGGAAATAAAAGTGAGTTAAAATTGATTACAGGATTCAGCAATGCCTTGTAAGGAGAATCATCCAACAACAAAGTATTGGATTCATTGTAATACCCTTTCTTCCATGGAAGATTAGGATCATGCTTATCCCAGAGTTTCCTCAAATCCTTAAAAACAACATTTTTATATTTATTCTCGAGAGTCTTGAAGTGTGTTTCAGTGCAATAAGAAAGATCCTGCACATCAGAAGCCAAGAAAATACAAAATCAGAAGTGACAAAAGTGAAAAGGGAATCCGTCAGTAGATTATGGCAGTTGTCATCACTCTCATAAAGATTATAGTTTCTATAGCAGAGTTAATGCAATTCCTCTATTGTTAATTTCTAACATGGTATTTTCAAACCTTTCAGCTCTACATTATTTCACTAAAACAAAGATTGATAGAGGTATTTCTTTAATCAGAGAACCATTTAATAAATACTTACCCAGCAGAAAAGCAATTTGTTTTTCAAAAATGGCATCAAACCGTCAATGATTCTATCAACATTTTTCCTGTAATATAAAGAAACATAAATTTTGGTGCTAAAAGCTAATGGTTAACAACAAAACATCCCAAAAAGAAATGGAGGCAAAAAAAATAGAAAAATAGACTCAAGTGGTTAGAAGAGTACTTTAATCTTGATGACCATATGCCAACTTCAAATTTTTCTAAGCAAAACTCCAGAAAATCAAGATAAGATGGTCTCTTAAATACTGAAATCAAATTCAAACATAACCAAAATTAGCATAATAAACAGAATTCATAAAAAACAAAGAACAACCATTCTTACTTGCTCTCCTTCCAATGGTTATATCAGGTTTGCGATCCTTTGGTGGAGAAGAAACTACAGCCGCTAACAATCCATTTATATCAAGAACAATTAGTCTTCTCTTTAAGGGATGAATTTCAGTTTCATGCAGAGAAATTTTGAAAACTTCTATACTGAGATCTTCATTTATGTCAGTAGCAGACACAGTCTTTTCTTCGTCTCTTTTTCCTTTGGCTGCCACAGTCGATTCAGTACTCACGGTATTTCCATTGAAATTCATTCTCCTATTTTTCTCTTACAAAACATTGGCACCAACAATATTATTAAAATAAGTTACTAGAAAATTTACACGGAAATACAAATCATTCCAAACCATAATATTAGTATGGTTCTTCTTATAGTTCTCTCTTTTATATCAATGGCTTTATAAATGTTCAGAAAATCACTTTTTTTTCTTCTAAAACCCATATTCAGTAAGGAAACATGAAAAGAATCAATATGCATCAACATTTAGCAAAACAAATAAAAATGACAATCGATAAAAATAAAGGAACAAAAAGAGTTTCTAGTTATAAGATATTGTCATTGTTTCATACACAAAACAGGTAAGAGTATAAAAGAAGAGATTCAATAAACATAACATACATCAACTTTAGCATTGGATAAAACAGATAAAAGGAAGTGAGCTAAAAGACACAAAAATGAGTGTCATGAAGATGGTACCTGTTGAAGTTGAGGAACTATGCAAAAATGGAGAACACAGTTGTTGAAACAGAACAATGTCTATGAAAGATTATTGTGCTTCTTTCTTCCCACCGCTAGATACACTAAGACATGAAATGAGTGAGGAACCCTCTGTTTCTTAACGTAAGCTTAGGAAAGTGTAACCGTCGCATATAAATTGAAGAAATGTCACCAACTTGGACTGTTCATTAAATTGGAGAACAAAATAACTCTTTCACTTCCAAAAGTAGTCACAGAAAACTGACAGAATTAAATGCAAGTACATTTTTAATACTCTTTTCTATTTAATGATAAAGTAGAATATTCTAAAAACAATCCTTTTAATTATGATTCTATTTTTAATATGTTTTTATTATTTTTTAATAACAGCGTGGAATTATATTAATTGTTACAGGGTGATCTTCTTACTCAAATTATTGGAAAGAAATTTGTGGGAATTCTAGTTTAAGATTTGGGGATAGTCTTCAAGAATTATACTTTTAATAAGTCAAATTCAATTTTATAAATTTGTCTTATTTTATAAATTTGTCATTTCTGTTCAGAATCACGAACATAATATACTTTTATGGATTGTTAAAGAAAATGATTTTAAAGATAATTTACCTTTAAAAAAAATTCAAAACAAATGTTTGATGAAATACATCACAATATAATCATAATAAATATTCATTTTGATGTCCACCAAACCTATAAGATCACTCTTCCCTCTATCTTCTATTTCAATTTTGATTATAATAACACGAACATCAACTTCTAACCCCAGACAGTAATCTAAATGACATGCAGATATGCTACAATAGGATTTAAGCCAAATGGCATAAAAAATATTATAACCACAATACAGTTTCTCCATAAATATATATATATATATATATATATATAATTATTTATAAAATTATAAAATTATAAAATTAAAAGTATTTCAATCATCCTGTATTTAATACTTATTTTATAATTCTTACACTAAAAATAATATTAACTTTATATATTCCCCATAGAAATATATATCATTTCTTTTCATGATTATATGACTAGTAAAAAAATTGTTTTTTTAACTCGCGCTATAGATTTCGGTTTAGGTGAAATTGAAGTCTATCAAAATGCGATGGTATTTTTGTAGTTTAAACAAACTTATACGTCTCGGTTCAAGGGGAACCGAAGCATATAAGGCACATTACCTTGATTGATACTACAATCGATGTCTAAAAGTCCATCTGCCCCCTAACATGTCTCTAAAATTTGAAGTCTGTGCAGTCTATGACTTCGGTTCATTCATAACCGGTGTGAAACCATGTTTATGCATCGGTTTAGGTGGGAACCGAGGCGTATATCCATTTATATTCTTTTTTATTTTTTTCTGAGGCCTCGGGAAGAGTAGAACCAAGGCATACATGTGGGTATTGCTTCGGCTGAACAGAGGTAGTATTGTTTACCTCTTAACCCCGCTGTCTAAAAAAAACTTAACCTGCAACAGTGTTTCATTTCCTTCTTCCTCGAGAAACAATTTTTCTTCCTCTCTCGTGCATAAGACTTTTTCACCATTCTTCTCACTCTCGCCCCTGGCTGCACTGCCCTTGCTGCTCCACCTCTGTTGCACGGTGCCCCGGATCTCCGCCCCCTTCCCCTTTTCCTCTTCTTTTCTCGTGAGAAACCAAATCTACGAGGCGGCTCCAAAATCTCCCCCTCCACTCAGAGACTCAAGGTGACCAAACTCGAAACCGAAAACGAGATCCCTTCGCCTTCCTCTTTGTTCGCCAAAACCCTACCGCTGGGAGCCACTACCACCTCGCCTGCGAGTCCGTCGCCTTTGGAGGGAAGAGCAAGTGGTGGCCTTTGGGAGTGAAGTGAGGTTGTTGATGAGCGTCGCTCATTTAGGTTGAACGAGGTTGCTCCATGGAGACGAACATGTAGGTTGGCAGCAGCGCTAGGTGGTGATGAACGAAGCTTTGTGATAGTGCATCAATGGAGGTTTCTAGTGAAGAATGTGAGTGCGGAGACTTGTGATTGGGGTTTTTCTGATGTTGATGGTGGTGGTGCGAATTAAGGTTTGATGACGACGGGGTGAAGATTGGGGGAAATTGTTATGCTCTGTTGCTTGTTCTTTGCACACGATGAAAGGAGGTTGTCACGATTTGTGTGGACGTTGGCAGTGGCTACTTCGAAGGCGGTGGTGGCGTGTCTGCGGTTGCCGTTCTGATTGCCAGGTTGTGCGAAAGGAGAGAGAAACTCTCTCACGGTGGTTATGGCGGCGGACCTGCTATGGAGATAGCGAGGGGTGTTGTGGCAAGGATTTTGCTAGATGGAAAGGTGGCCCGATACTGATGGCGGTGGCCACGGACGCGACCCAATGTGGTGTTGATGGGTGCGCGAGAAGCGTGGTTTTTGGTGGCGGTAGTCGCGGCGGCGTCTTGGTTCTCTGGCTTGGTTTCTATTTCCTGTAGGTTGCCATGGATAACGGGCGTGACTCTGGAGAATGCCATGGTGGTTGTGACGCGTTGGAGAAGAAGACTTCGCGTGGTGGCCTGTGGTGATCTGGATAAAGGTTAGCCGGTTGTTGGGTATAGTGGTTCGATGTGAGAATGGAGGTGAACGTTTTAAGAAGGAACTGTAGAGGCAATCATACCTTTGTATTCTCTATGTTTACCTATATGATATATTGTTGAATTATAGAAAGCTTTAGGTTAGGGATTATTGATATTTTCTGGATGGATGTTTTCGTAATTTATTAATTAGATACGCACAACAAAACTGCAGCTTGTAATATTTCTTCTACATTGCCTTGAAATAGTTTCTTGATTCAAAGTTATTTTATTTTATGAACTGCGTTCTGTGATCTTATATGCTAGGAGACTACCGGTATAGTAATGGATGTGGCAAGCATAATCCCAAGGAGATGGCACGAAAAATGGGGCAGAGAAAAGAAATAAGGGAATCTATGAGATCACATTTGTTCTTCTTTCTCTTATTCTAAAATTCTCGTAAAAATCAAATTACTTCCTCCAGCTCTGAGTATAGTTATTTTTAGTTTATTATACATAAACGTAAAGTGTAAACCCTTGATTTTTAGAGGATAAGTGTAGTTTTGACTCACTAGGTGACCAAAATGCACTAGTTATCGCACTTCCGGAAGGGAATCTGACACTTTAGATGCTTTCGGCTTGCTTGGGGTGAGCTAGATGATTCTGGGTGAGCTACCTCGAACCTGGAAAAAAAAGTTAGATTCGTCTTGAAAAGTCGTAGACGGTAGAAAAAACTGTCGAGGCACTTTTCGGCTAGCTTGAGGAATTGGTCCACTAGCTTGAGAAAATTGGTCCATTAGCTGGAATAATAAGGCTAGCTTGAGGCGAATTGGTCAATTAGCTTAGACAAATAAGGCTTTAGCTTGAGCATTTGGTTGGTTCTAGACGCATTTCAAAAGCGTCTTAGCCTATTTTAAGGCATGTTTCAAACTTGAGAAAGGGTCTGAAAAATGAATATGAGAGGGGTAGAGAGGTATGAAGATTTGAGTTGGGGTTAGATTAGGTAGATGAGGAGTTTGAGTTTGTGGAATGCCCACGAAGCCAGGTTAAGTTTGTCGAGCATGCTAGGAGAAAACTATTAGAAAGGGAGCTAGCTACCTTTGGTCTGTTGACTCTGAATTTGTTCTGATCATGAAGAGATGTTGGGTTTTTGAAATTTGTGAATGATTTTAAAGGAGATTAGATTAAGCTTTTTATGTTCCATTGGAATTCGTGTTTAAAACTCATGCATTAGTATGATTGAGAACAGAATAAGTCCAAATGTATTTTGGTGAGCTTATTACTGAAATGGAAATGGAAGATTTGAAATTGTTGATTTCGTGATGATGAACATGATTATTAATTGTACACTAGGAGAATATGTGAGATCGAATATGTATGTACCATTGATTCTCTGTCTTTCCCGATAAAGGTTGTTATGATTCTTATTTGGGTGTTATTGTGTGATTTTTGTTTGAGGATGGGCAGTTCATATGCCTTAAATAGAATCTGTGCATGATTTTAGACCCTAAATTTGATTGAGAATATGATGATATTGATGAGAAAATTGGTATTTGTGATGATTGTTGATGAATTTTGGGTCTCTAGAAAGTCTGGGAATGTTAGAGGAATTGTAGAATAGGCTTGAATCTGGATTATGTTTGAATAAGCAAGAAACCATTCATTGGGAGAGCCCGACTCACTCGATGGCCGAGTGAAGTCATTGGCGGGCATGAAGTGAGGCTTGAAAGCATGTTTTTGATGACGTAAGATTGATTTTTATGCATATTGTTGATTGTTGAATGTTGTGTGGTCTTTATGGAGATTGTAAAAGGATATGGGAATGAGGATAGTGTATCTAACAATCTGATGTATGATTAATGGGATTGTGAGCTGACTGGATTATGGTTGTTGGTTGAGATGATTTGTGAAAATTAAACAATTATGTTGAGCCGATTGTGGTTGATGTGTTGTGATTTGTGTCTTTGTTGGTTTGCGCTACTTTGGTAAGTTGGCAAAATCAACAGCAATCGTGTTG